CAATTTTTCCCTTTTCCGGGAAGTCTCTTGAAAAGCCACCGATGCCAGAAGTGCCACGCACAGCAGGGTTTTCGAGCTGTCCACATGGCTGTTACGCCTGAAGGCGCGCGTTTACGGCATGTAGGAGCGTTTAAAGGCCATGATCAGAAAAGTGGTGCAAGATACGGCTGCCAGCGGTCTTGAAGCAATGAGAGTCGTAGTTATGGAGTGTGCAGTTGCGAAGAATTAGCTCTCACGGCACCAGGGATTCTCTCCATCCCAACATGTGCTAGGGAAACTGCCCCGTTTTCCGGGCTCGGTGACCGATAAAGCCGGCGACCTAGGATGCCTAGAGTCAAGGTTCGATGAGTCGGGCCCTTTCTATGAGCGTCACAGGGCAAGAGCTGAAGCAAGACGGGCTTTTATCCACTTGGATACCTCGCGTAAGGTTGCCCGAGCTTTACCACGCAATGCAGCCCCGTTTCCTCTCGACTACAAAGTCTGCGATTTGGTCGTGTACTGTTGGGATACTGTTCCTGGAAGGCCTGGAGTGGTCTGGTCTATTGTCTCTCGTGTCATAGGCCGCGAGGCGGACAACGCCCTATGGCTTTTGAACGAAGGTATCCCGGTACTTGTCAGTGTCCATAAGCTTCGCCCAGCGGACGAAGTAGAAGTTGCTGCTTCACGCGTGTTAGCAGGCCTCCCCGTGCTTCCTGAAGCAATAGTCAATGGACCTGAGCAAGGTACATCGACGAACGGTCGGCTCAGGCGGATATGATTCTAGACCCGGTTGTGTCTGCGCCTACTCCGGCCATGGCGCCGCCGACCCCCAACGTCGCCGCTCCTAGCACTCCAGCTTTGCCAAAATCAAGCGCCGCAGCTCCTAGTGCCACAGCGCCTGGTACTCCCCTAGATGTCCCTGCGGCTCCTAGCACGCCCGTTCCGCCTCCGCCTCCGCGGAGCAGAGCCAAAGATAAGACGGGCCAACCTGGCCCGGACGGGTAGGACCAGATCGCCCTTTGCAGGCGTTGCCGCAGGATCACCCATGGCTCAGGAAATCCAGTCTTTGGAGGCTTATGCGTTAGCGCTCACCAACTACGGTGACTTTAGTAGCCATAGTTGCCTGGAGCTCCTCAGGGCTTTCGCTCTGACGAGAGGCACTGGCTCTTACCACCTTAGACCCGTGAGTGCTCAGGACGTAGATGCCTATGAGACTAAGTCCGTAGCGGTTGCATTAGGTGTTTATAGACACGGCGGTTTAATTGGGGTTAGTGACGCCACGAATGATTTCCCTGAGCTTACTAAGTGACTCAACGGGTATATCCAGGCCAAGGTAGGCGAAGCCCTCCTGCCGAATGCCACATAGAACGCTCTGTCGTTCACCAACGCTCACGCCGGCCCACACAGATAGAAGCAACAAGCCCGGCGTGCCGAATCTCACAACGAGTTTAGGCCCGTCTCCCGGGGTGGTGAGCTTTGGATTGAGGAGCCCGGAGGAGGCACCTATTTGCAGATAGATGGGGAGCTTGTGGCAGGTCGTCTCCACACGACCAAAGACCACTTGTTCGTCTTTAATCCCAAGGTTAGGCATTCAGTTATCCCACCAAATGGCGAAAGGTGGAGCATCACAGCATTCACTATGTCTGACTTAGGCAAGCTTGATGATGAGAAGGTTCAGTACCTGTTGTCCCTCGGTTTTTCAAATCGAAACTGGACTTGACGAGGAGGAACGTGAACTGACTCCCACAGCCACAGGGCTGATGGCGGAATCTTTGCTCAACCCCGGTGACACTACGCAAGGGAAGAAATTTAAAGTCATCGACTACCATAGTGTAGGGGTTGAAGCGCGCATGGGACTTGACGCGGCAATGTCCACAGAGTGGGAGAAATACCGTGAGTTCAACGCCGTTGTTCCCTGCGCCGCTGAAGAAGTCAAAGAACTCATTGCTCTGGGACACTCCTGTATCCCACAAAATGGGTCTGATCAGCCGACATCAAGAATGCGTACTTGCAGGGGAAACCCCTAGAACGGTTGATCATTCTTAGGGTTCCTAGACACCCTAAGGGAGTTCCTGATGCTGAAATCAATGCATCGGGCTACATGACCGCCCGCGTACCGGTCTACGGTACCACTGACGCGGGACGCGGCTTATACCTGTGCCCAGTCACACGACCAAGGCCGCCGGCCTGAATCATTGGCAGGTACTCTCGGCCCTTTACTTCGCCCACAGCGGTGACAGCACCGCCCCAATGATCAGCGTGATCATGTGTACACATGTAGATGATTTCATATGGGCCGCGACTGTAGAGGGAGAGTCCAAAATGCAGGTTGTGCTCAGTACTTTTAAGATAGGACGTGTTGAGGAGGGCAAATTCCGCTTTTGTGGACTTGAGTATGTGCAACACTCCGACTTCTCCATTGAGGTCAATGCCCGCGAGAACACACGTGCTATCAAGCCACTGAGCTTGCCCAAGGCCAAGGCCCCGGAGCCCGTGACGAACGCACAGCGCACGGCCTTACGCTCTGTTGTTGGCAGCCTGGCCTGGGTAGCCCGCGCCGCGAGACCTGATCCGGCATACCGGGTCAACGCACTCCAGACCCAAATCTGCAAGGCTACGGTTGAAACCCTCAGAGAAGCCAATCGGGTCGTAGAGCTCGCATTGAAAGATGGCGACAGGGCCATCTTGTTCAAAGGCGGACTACTCCCATGGCAAGCCGGTGAGTTGGCAGTCGTCACGTTTAGTGATGCCTCATTCGCAGCGGAAGCTGGGTACAAGTCCCAGCGTGGCCGAATCCACTACCTCACGGTCGCCAACATTGCCAGGGAAGCCGAAGCCATGACGCATCCGGCACACTTCATCTCGTATGGGTCTTCTACCATGAAGCGGGTGTGTAGGGCGACTTTGCAGTGTGAAGCTTATAGCCTGCAACATGCCACAGAGCATGCGGATAGGATTCGAGCTGCGCTCCTTGAACTCCTGGGCCGTCTCCCTAGGCTCAGAAACTGGGATGACTACGCTCGACGGTCTCTCTTTCACCTTCAGCTCAGCGACTGCAGATCCTTGACGGATCATCTCCTCAGTTCGATTCCCCGTGCTGTTGAAGATAAACGCCTGGCCATTGAAATGGCAGCGCTACGCCAGAGCTTGTGGACGGATGAAGAGGAAAGAACCTGCATCGCCGATGCCCCACACGGGGACGAACTCCGTTGGGTGCCTACACATTTGCAGCTTGCTGACGCGCTCACGAAGTCATTGAAGCCATTGCTGCTTAATCAGGCACTTGAGACAGGTTCCGTGATAGTGCGCGAGCAATAGACTCACACAGCGCTACACTACCTCCCGTCCGTGTCGCGTGGACACATAAAAGCCAAGTGCAACATCAGCTACTATGCTGCTTACTTGCCATAATCTTCGGCTGTGTATCGGCCCACAGAATCGGCGGCAAGTTGCTAGTAGCCCTCTGTACAGCCTTCATCTCACATGTCGATAAGACAGGTGTGGATTTTCACTCATTTTTGAGCTGCACCGTGGTGAGAGTAGTTGTTCAGAGGACATGTTGCCTAGCTTTTCTTTGGACTGAACCGCAGGCGCTTTGAGCTCAAACCAAAATTTCACTGCTTTGCTTCGTGGTTGCTAGCAGTCTCAAAATTCCAAACCTTAAACCCCAAATCCTAAACCCCAAACTCTAACCCCAAATCCTAAACCTCAGGCCTGAAAATCCAAAGCCTAAACCCAAATTCGAAACTCTAATTTGTAGGCAGGTTCAGCTACAGAGAGGTCAGAGCTCTACTGCTTAGGGTTTAGGTAAACCCTAGCTGTTATGGGTTTTGGGTTTAACGGTTTCAGGGTGTAAGAGTTTGAGGGTTTGAGGGCTAAGGGTTTAAGGATTTATTTAGGATGTAGGGTTTTGGGTCTAGATTCCCCGGTTTGGGGCTTAGGGTACGGTGCATGATTACGCCATCGCGGCGTCTCCATATCCCCGTAGCCGGGCGTAAAGAGCGGTTGATGCTTTGGATTGAGATGGCTCGGGTTAAGTAGATAGAATATGGATTCCCCAAAATCATAAGAAGATCCCTATATGCTATATGCTCCATATTCTATCTAGTTGAGGGGACTTGAGGTCTTAGGGATTTCCAGTTGGAATCAGCAGGTGTCTTTCGCTTGCTCAGTTGTCCCACCAGCAAGATCCCACGCTCGTTCCTGGCTACATGCGGTTGGTTTGCTTACTTGACGCGGTTTATGGTTGAGATTTCAGGGTCTAGGATTTAGGGCTGTTCATCGCATGAGCATAGGAGGCACACTCAGACTTACCAGCGCCGAGGGTTCGTAGTGGCACGTGTTAGCATCTTGGTTTGGTGGACATCATGAAATCAATCTTTGGTTTGGGGTATGACTGCTGTGCCAGAACGTTGCGCCAGTCCATATCTCCCTTGAAAATATCCCCAGGGTCTCCAGGTACATGGGGATGAAAGTGTTCAGAATTGCTGGACCCCACCCGCTCCGCCTCGACCCCTTGGCTGCTAGTGGCATTCTTCAGCCCTGCATCTGCATGAAACTTCCTACAAGTCAAGAGCATCCCTTCGTCTGAGGGATTAAATTCTGGGACTTCTTAGGTACCTATAATAGGAATATGAGGGAATCCCGAAGGGTTAAGGGTCTAAGGTCCAAGCTAAGTCCCAAGCAGTTGAATTCTATAGTCCCCCCTAAGTAGATAGAATATGGCTTTGGGTATATTATACTAACATCCCCATATACCCCATATTCTATCTATTTAAGGGGGACTATAACCCTATGGAGTTGCCACCTCTAGGGCCTGAACCCCAAAGCACTGGAGTCCTAGAACCTAGGTACCCCAGTAGCACCCTTGTCTCCTTATACAAACAGAACAGTAGGAAAATGGGTACCCTTATTATTGAGGGTTTACTGGGGAACCTAGGAATTGAAGTGTGGTGCCACGCCAATGTAGGCTACTAAGCCTATCACAGCTGAGCAGTCGTCCAAGCTGTGGCACAGGCATTTTAGGCTTCTCGGTGTATGCCAATCTCACGCATTCCTCATATTCTTTTGTTTTTGCACAGCGAAGCTAAAAAGGAGACTTGGTTTTGAGACCCTTATGACAGAGAAGCAGCGAGCAGCTGAGCTGAATTCCGCGATGCTTTTGGGAAGTGACAGATGCTTGCCCAAAAAAACGCGTTTTTGCAAAGTGGCGTGTGCAACGCATGGGACTTAAACCGCTACTTCGGTTGCCTGCCACAGGTTCTTGGGCATACGAGGGGGCACTATGGTTAGCTCGAGAAACTTAAGCAAGCTCAGTTCCTGATCACATGAGCTTTGTGATTAGGAGACCCATGGCATCAAAATCATGGCCGCAGGGTAGGACAAAGTCTGGAAAGTCAACGCTCTCAAGACGTCTTTCTATGCCTTGTCCAGTTCGTCTTGTTTCTGCGCACGTAAGTCCTTGTAGTCGTATGTTGGTTGTAAATGCACCATTCTGGCATGGCCTGAGGAATTTCACTGCGTCTGAGTGTTGATTTCACACCAGAAGGTACATGTGTGGAATCATTATTTTGTGGGTTTTCGGCCATTGACTTCCCAGGTAAACCCTAGCCCTAGCCTAGCCTTTCTTAAAAACCTGCTAAGACTGCTTCATGCCTTTCCTTTCGCCAGGGCATTCAAAGCCGGATCTGCCGGCTGATCCCTGGGATCATCCCGACCCGTGGAGTTGCTCGGCGTCATCTTTTTGCTACGCATCACCCTCCTCCCCGACACAAACATACAAAATGCAGGCTGTTGTCGTGTACTAGTTATGAGGGGTAATCCTAGCTTCCAGCAAGTCTTAGTCCCAATAAGCCTACGAGGCCTATGCGCACCATCGCCCCCGAGTCAGTCGAAGCAACTTGTCCTCACTTTGGCTTCATATTATATAGGGATTATAGGGTATATATTGGGGTATATATAGGGATAATGGAAACGAAAATGGAAGCATAATCAAGGTATTATGTACTGATTATCGGGTATATATTGGGGTATACGTAGGGATAATGGAAAAGAAAATGGAAGCAACAGAGATTATAGGTATTATATAGGGATTATAGGCTATAGGGTATATATCATATTAGTTTTTGGGTTCAGGGGTTAGGGGGAGGGTATTCGGAGTATGTCTTGGATACTGCCTGCACCCTCATACAGTCCTGTATAGGACCCTTACTAAGGCTATATGGTATAACTATGTATTGGTATAATTACGTATTAGATGGGGGATTGGTATTGCGCATGGGCAGTATCCAAAGCATACGCCACATGTTACGCCTTAGCGCGTCTATGGGCTCATCTTGATGTACACAGATGAGTCACCCAGGACTCCTCGTCTGCATATAGTCCCCCTTAAGTAGAAAAGAAAATGGAAACTATTATTTGGGGTTTAGGGTTTAGGGGTCCCCCCTAAGTAGATAGAATATGGCTTTGGGTATATTATACTAAGATCCCCATATACCCCATGCTCTATCGACTTAAGGGGGACTATATACATGTGTACATGATGCCTAGTGTGGACCCTAGAGTCTGTAGACATTACCTATGCTGGGCTATTGGGATCCCTGGGCTTAAGGTACTTGCAGCCTTGCTGTTGGGACATGGCCCTATGCGCCATAAAGCTTCGTCATGTGAAGCTAGAAGTTTGAAAGTTCGACATATCTCAGCCACATGAAAGTGCAGTGTAACATATCCTGAACCTTAGTCTACGAGTGGCGCTCAGGCTTCAAGGGGGCCGTAAAATCTAATTTTCCTAAATCCTAAAACCTGAACCGTACAAACCCTAAATCATGTGGCTGTACGTCCATGCCAGGCCGCCAGCCGACGTGGACGAAGGAAGCACTTGGCCTGCAAGAGCTCACAGCCAAATACTTACACGGTCTAGGGTTGAGGGTTTAGAAGCTAGGGTTTGGGGCTCCTCTGGTTAGCATTATAGGAGCCATAGTCTAAACTCCTTAAAGGGGGTTATATAAGGGATCTGGTAGGGGACTACCATAGGGGTTATGAAGGGGGATACTAGGAGTTGAGACTATAGCTCATAGGGTTCTCCAAAGGTTATACGCAGGATTGTTTCAGGATTGTATAGTACTGCGCTTAGCCATACATGGATTCTCTCGAGGGCATGCGCAGGATAAGATAGGTCATATGGGTATCACATTCGGGTTGTGTATTGGGGTATAAGAGGATTTCCCCAATCTTGGAGAATCAAATGGAACAGCACATGCAAAATGAAATGGAAACCTTGGGTTTATGGGGACATATGGGTCAAGAATTCAGGGTCTTCTTATCTCTAGTTAGCAGGGAAGGATGGAATGGAAGCCACAAAAGCTACCACTTAGGGCTGAAGGCATAGGAATGGAAAAGAAGATGGGCATCATTATAGTACGGGGGCTCATATAACCGTAAACCTGAAAACCGAAACCGCTAATATAGGGACTGCTGTAAGGATAAACATTTCATTTCGTGCAAACCATTTCCTGTCGTGCAAACCGATGGTAAGACGCCAGAGGTGATGAAATTTCTTTGCGTATGATGCGGGTGTATGGGTTTAGGGCTTTGGGGTTTAGGGTTATATTGGGGTTATATAGGGGATATATTGGGATAATGGAAAAGAAAATGGAAACTACTATTTAGGGTTTAGGGTCTAGGGCTTTGGGGTTGCGGGGCATGATGTCTGGCATCCCTTTTTTGCGACCACTCTACACGTGGGTCGCAGCCAGATGCAGCCTGTGCGCAGGGGTCTAAGTTGGCAACAGCTTGACTTAGCATTGCACCTTCTCAATAGGTATGTGTCAAAGACTTTAAGTTTGTACCCTTAATGTTTGTACCGCTAAGTTTTGGGTCCCAAATACCCTTATTGAGGGCCATATTCCATAGTTTAGGGACCCAAAACCCAAGGGTACAAACCCTAAGGGTCCAAAGGAAAACTCCCTGAATGTGGGCTCTGAGTGGTTGTGGGCTTGCCCTATCCTCACCCCTTCCCGCCTGCACCTCCCCCAGGTCCTCGCACATCAAGCCGTTGCCCTCCAGTCCCTAATGCACCTCTATATCCTTGAAGACACCCTGAGAGCTCCAGCACCGGCGTTGCACCGTATTCGCAGACGCTCTTTCCTTGTGTTTCTTAGCAGCTCTCCCACTAAGTGCTGGGAATACCAGTTGCAGCAACGAGCATGGAGCTATGCCGGGCACGTCCTTAGGCGACCAGAAAGTCATCCTACAAGAGCCGTTCTGTTGTCCCTGCATGGGGCTCGTCGTCCTCAGGGGGGTTATCCGAATTCTCAAAT